GGTGACAGCAGCGCACGTGATGATGGTGCTAATGGGTGTCTCTCAAGCTGGCAGGGCTCTGGCGTGGCAACTCCGCACCCGGGGCGGATATCCCGCATTCCTGACCCCGACATCACCCCAAAATTTGTCCCAACACTTCCTCCCCGCACAGGGAGGAGACGCAGCTGAGGAACCCCCAAAAGTCCAAGCAAAGGGGTAACTCATCCCACAAGCGTGTTTGGGGGAGGGCGATTTCCTCCATTTAATGCCCCGACATGCCCCTCCAGCCCGGAGTCTGGCTGGGGCAGGAGGTAACACATCCGCGGGGAATCAGATCCACGCCCCGGGTGAGATATGCTGGGAGGAATTTGGGGAGACAAAGAGGAACGTGGTTATATTTGAGTAGAGCAGTGGGAGAGCTTGGGATAGAGGGTCCTCCATTTCCCCAGCCTTGATGCTCTCTGACCAGTTCCAAGCAACTGGAAGAACAGGAAGGGGAAAAAAAGAAAAAAAAAAAAAAAAAATCAGAATTTTCCCTTAATTTCTTTAAATCTTTGTATTTCATCTGTGTAATACCGTATTTTTGCAGCAGAGATAATCTGGGGATAGCGGGGGCTGCAACAGCATCCTGGCCCTTTTGGGATGCCTTAAGGCCACTCTCGCAGCACCCAGACCCCCACCCGTGGGTGGACAGCAGGTTTAGGGGCCCTCTGAGCCCTCCTGGGTCTGAAAAATCAGGGTGCACAGGCAGGGGTGGGGACTGGCCTTGCCCACCCCAGGATGAGGACATCATCCTCCCCAATGTGGGTGCACCCCATGGTTTGTGGGGTGGTTCCCTGACCATGGCAGGGTCAGGCAGATAAAGCGGAGACAGGGGAAGGCAAGGGGGGGTGTCAGAAGCCATGAGGAGCAGGGGAGATATAGGGAGTAGGGGGATCCATGGGAAGTTGCAGGAGAAATGGAGAACCAGACAAGTTTTTGGGAACGGGAGAAGCTATAGGGACCCACAGCAAGGTGTGGGGACCTACGAGTGGGGGGAACTATAGGGGATGAGGGAAACCATGGAGGGACTGTTGGGGACAGGGGGATCTGTGGGTTCAGGCAGCTGAGGAAGGGGCTCCTCCATGCCCCACAGCAGAATCCAACTCATCCTCGCCCCTCTGGGGCTGGGGGTACCCAGGAAGGGTATGTGGTGACACCCTATCTTCACCCCAACTCGGCCATGGGGTGAAGCAGCTCCTTGTCAGGGCCACACAATTAAGACCCTCTTAAGAAAGCAAGCTGAGCCACCTAAACTCAAGCCCTGCTGCTCCCCAGGGGCTTCCTGGCAGCACACACCCAAAAAGCCAGCAGGTAAAGGGTGTCTCCCAGAAGAAGCACCTGGGTGGGTGGACAGGTGCACCCACAAGTTTTGGGGTTCAGGGAGAGCAGGGATCAGCCCTGACCAAGGCAGCCACTACCTTCCCAGGCACAGGGTGGCCAGAAAATGCTCAGAAGGTTTGGGGCAAGACAAGACCCAAAAGAAACCCCAGAGCCAGGGCTGGGGAAACCGAGGCAGAGCATTCTCCAAAAGGGATTCCTTTGCTTCAGAAAAATAAAAATAAAACAATGGGACTGACGTCCCAGTGCCTTCACTGTTTGCGGGGCTGCAGCAGACCCGGGGTGAGGAATCCAACTGTGCCTGGGTTGTGGAGTTTCAGCCCTCCCTAAAGCCCCTTCCCCGACATTCTCTAGGATAGAGATGACAGATTGGGGTCTCCCTTCTTGGCTTCTTCTCCCCCTTTCACAGCGACTAGTCCCACCCCAGCACCCAGCCTTACGGCCCTGAGCCTTGGGAAGCCCTGACCCACCTCTTCCCAGGCTTTGGCCACATCCCAGCCTCCTCTGTAGTCAGCCCAGGTGATCTCTCACCCTGGAAAGGCCACCAGCCCCAAAAACATCTGCTTCAGGCAGCTGACTGTCAGGGCAGACGCTGGTGGGCATTGGGGTATGAGGCCGGGGGCATTTCTGTGTGTACAGCAGCTGAAGCTGTGGCAAAGAGCCCACATCAGGCAGGGGAGACAGTGAAACGAGGAGTGGGAAACAGGAGAGGGAGGCAGCCGGACCCTGATCCCACAAAGACGAGCATCTGGAGGGATACAGTAGGTCCAGAGCTCATCCCAGCCTGGGAAGAAGCACTGCACCAGCAGTAAGGAAAAAAAAAAAAACCCCAAACAAAAGTGAAATGTTTATTCCCACCTGGCATCACTTTCCCTGTGCTGCTGGTGGCAGGTCACAGCTGGACAAGACAGTCACCCTTGAGAGGTGACCACATCTCCTCGTTCGCCCCATGCGCCCGCAGTGTGTCCCAGCTCCAGACAGGGCTGTCGAAGCCCTCGGGGCCAAGGGCTACAGCAGCAATTTGTGAAGGCAGGGGGCATGGAGGAAGGCAGTCAGGGAGGAGGGGGTCCCAGCAGCTTCTGGGGGCTGAGTCTGGCACAGAGCCTCCTTGGCATCCCCCCTCCAGGGCACAGAGCTGCCATGGGAGCAACTGCAAAGCGGATCTCTGCCAGACCGATGCGATGCCCTGTGCCACCGGCCAGGCAGCAGTTCCCAGAGGCAGCAGCACGTTCAGGAGGAATTCATGCTCTCCCACTGCCGGAAAATGCGGAACACCTTGCAGGACTTCACTGAGAGACTCTACAAGAGAAAGGAACAAAGTGACAACCAGAGGTTAGGGCACTGCAACAGCCGTGAGGACCAGCCACAAAGGTTGTGAAGAGAAACTGCAGGAAAAAAAACCATCTGAAATGTAATTGGCTGCCAGGACATCAATTTCCTCCTCTTCTTCGTTATCCTTATTTACCAGAACCAGAGGAGAGAACAGCAAGGTGACTTAAGAATGACATGGAGCTGTTGGAGTGGGTCCAGAGGAGGCCACGGAGATGATCCGAGGGCTGGAGCACCTCTGCTCTGGAGACAGGCTGAGAGAGTTGGGGCTGTTCAGCCTGGAGAAGAGAAGGCTCCGGGGAGACCTTCCAGTACTTAAAGGGCTACAGGAAAGCTGGAGAGGGACTTTTGACAAGGACATGTAGCGATAAGACATGGGGCGATGGCTTTAAACTGAAAAAGAGTAGATTTGGATTAGATCTGAGGAGGAAATTCTTCCCTCAGAGGGTGGTGAGGCACTGGACCAGGTTGCCCAGAGAAGCTGTGGCTGCCCCATCCCTGGAAGTGTTCAAGGCGAGGTTGATGGGGCTTTGAGCAACCTGGTGTAGGGGAGGGTGTCCCTGCCCATGGCAGGGGGGTTGGAACTGGGTGATCTTTCAGGTCCCTTCCAACCCAAATCATTCTATGATTCTAGGATTCTATGACTGCAAGCAAAAAGCAGAATAGAGCTCCAACCATCCCCTTCTCCAGCTGAGTCTCACGCCTCCAACTCATGTCCAGTCCTGCAGGACCTGCTAGCACTTTTCTGGCACACAGCACAGCGGAACGGGTCGACCTGTTGGGGACACAACTCACACAAAGTCCCCAAGACAAATGCTGACACAGGGCTGCTCCACCAGTCCCTGCAGCTCATCCCTGAGCAAGGCACAGGGGAGCCAGCAAGAAGAATCCAAGAGGATAACGGGGCCCAGGGAGGCAG